GGCTGCCAGCTCTCGAGGCTGTCAGCTCAGCTGGTGTCTGTCAGTGCTGGCTCCTCTCCTGGTAGCCTTGGGCTCTCAAAGCTGGCTCCACAGGTGGCCAGAGGTGGGCCCTTTACTTGAAGTATGAGTGCAATAGCAGCAGAGACAGAGCTGCATGTCTGGTGTGTGAGAGGCTGCCCTGCTGTGACTCCTCAGTGTGTCTGTGCTGTTTCAGTCCCTCCTCACAGGCTACCCAGTCCTCTCCAAGACCCCAGTAACACCCCAGGTACCAAAGACAGTTCCCCCCCAGCCTGAAGGTGAAGTGAGGCCAGGGAAAGCAACTGAGAGTGCTGCGAACTCCCTCACCAAGGGCTCCCTGAAAGCAGCCCCGGCCGACAGCTCAAGCAGCAACAGCAGTGACTCTGACACAGATGACAACCAGGTGGCTGCAGACCACAAAGCAGGTGGGTCTCCTTTGGCAGGGCTGGGAATTTGCTTGGCCCAGGAGTGAAGCCATGCTGGCTCGGGAGGGTGACACTGGGGAGGGTGTCACTGGGACAGGCCTTGTTCCCAGTGTGTCTACCATGGAATCCACAGCATGGAGTACTGCTGCCGTCTGCTGGCTTCCCTGGCCACAGCACAGCCTTCTCCCTTAACAGCCTGCTTGTGCTGGCTGCCTCCAAGGCTCAGTGCCTTTGCCTCTTCCAAGTTGTGATTTAACCACAGTAAATTAACATGAGCAGGTAGGGGTCTCCCTGGAGCCAGTGCTCACTGCATTGCTGGCTTCTGTGGAGGATTCAAATGATGCCTGAAGCCCATCTGCTGCACAGTGCTGATATTCAAGCCTCCCCTTGGGCTGTGTGGGCTCTGATGCATGTCTGGAGAGCAGAGGAGAGGAAGCAAGTGAGAAGACCTGTGGAGAAACAAAAGGTCCCACCATTTTCTTGGTTTGTTGGCAACTTGGAGCTTCTGCTCTGGTGTGACCCTGGCACCTTCAGATGAACTGGGGCCTACTCTGGAAGTTCAGATGCGTCTGTTGGTCCTTGGGTACATCATGAAATAGTGCAAAGGGCTGTTGAGGAAGTCAGAACTCTGTATATGGGCTCAAAAGGGCCCAGGGGCTCTGGGCTTGGCCACTGGTGATTACATGTGGCAGTGTGGAGACCCTCGCCACCTTGGGAAGTCCCCAACTTACTGGAGGTGGTGTCCTGGGGAAGGACTACTCCATCTATGTTCACCCATCTTGTCAAACAGCCAAAGCTGTTGTGGCTTGTTGTCATGCTCTTCAGGCTGAGGCATCTTTCTCTGACTCTGCTACAGATGCCAGCAAGTTTAGCTTTTTTGGGGGAGAAGAACTGGATTCTCCTCTTCAAATGCATATTTCCATCCTCCTGTGACTAGTTTGTGTAATGAATGCTCCCTGAGTTGTCTTCTCTCTTTTGTCTGTTTCTGCAGAAAACAACCCCCCTTCAGGGCAGGAAGCTACTGAGGCCTCCAACAAAAAGAAGGTGGCAAGAAAAACAGAGCCAGGTCCTGCCAGCCTCAAAGCTTCGCCACTGAAGAAAACCCTGGCAACGAAAGAGAACAATGTTGGGGCATCAGGGGTGCAAGTTACCCCAGCATCATCACATGCCCTGCTCTCTGTCCCAGAGTCACAGCAGCCAAGTTCAGGGAGTGAAACTGAGGTCACCACTTCCGCCAAAGTCCCTGCAGTGCAGACAGTGGAGGGGTTGGAAGTGAAGAAGAAGAAGAAAAAGGAGAAAAAAGAAAAGGAGAAAAAAGAAAAGGAGAAAAAGAAACCATCGTCCACAGCAGACAAGGCTGTGAAAACACCCAAGAGCAAAGACAAAGAGAACAAGAAGCGGAAAACATCTCAGAAACGGAAGCTGACAGGAGAGGATGGGGCTGTGGGGCAGCCCAAGGAGAAGAAACGGAAAGGGCAAACTAATGAAGAAGTACCCAAAAAGAAAAAGAAGAAAGCAGATGGTGACCTGGAGAAGGTGGCAGGCACCAAGGAAAAGAAAAAAGCCGCTAAAAGTAAGCATCCTACACTCGGGGCCTAGTTTGCAATAGGTTCTTGCAACTGATGTGCATTCAGCCTCTGGTGCAGAGCCTTGCGAATAGCACCCACTTTCCCATTGGCTTCCTGCTTGGCTGCTTCCCTCATGGAATCATAGTCATGTGGCTTGAAAAAGGCCTCCAAGATCATCAAATCCAACCATTAACCCAGGTCCATCTCCAAACCATGTCCCCACATACCATATCTACACATCTTGTAAATGCCTCCAAGGTTGGTGACCACACTGCTGCCTTGGACAGCCTGTTCCAGTGTTTGACAACCTTTTTAGTGAAGAAGTTTTTCCTAATACTCAACCTAAACTTCCCTTGGCTCAACTTGAGGCTATATCCTCTTGTCCTGTCACTTTTGACCTTTCTACAGCTGCTTGTTCTGTAGTGCCCTGCTCTCTGCCCTAATCCATAGGCCATTTTGTTTCTTTGCAGTGCAGCCTGTATTTGCAAATGAGACATGGTTTTGTGCTGGATCTGGTAGGCTTTAAAGAAAAAGGGGAGGAGGACGTGGATTGGCTGGGCCAGATCTGATGGTGTTTCTGTTCTGCTGAAACACAGCCCTTAATTTTGGAGGTGTCACTGTCCATTGGCCCCTCTGCGAGCTGTTTAAGAGGGATGAGTGGAGCCTCTTGAGCAGTTGTGATGAGTTGATCCTCGTGTGTTAGCAGCTCCCCTGGCTCTCATTTCTGGCATGTGGGAAAGGTGGCACAGGTGCTGATCTACTCCAGCCCTGAAGCAGTTCCTTGAAGCAGGTGGGCAGCAGGAGGTGGAAAGAAAGAAGTTCTATGTAATTTCACCCATGTGTGTGCACAGATGGTGAGATCAAGCTGCTCTGGCTCAGGGGTATTAGGGAAACATCCCTGGGTGCAGCTGACTGTGGGTAGAGCTCTGCCTTCACCCAGTTCCTGCTCTGGAAATCTTGCTCGTTTGGATATGATAAAAAACTTACTGGAGATGCTCCTACCAGTCTGTGCTCCCTCTCAGAGGCTGACAATACCACAGTCCCTCTCTAAGTTGGCTTTTCTTTCCCACTTCTAGAAAAGAAGACTGGAAAAGAAAAGAAGAGCAAAAAGGCATCCTCGGAAGGGGCGCCTGTAGCAGATTGCTCTGCTGAGGCTCACAAGAAGAAGAAGAAGGTATGTGTCACACCCTGGGCTGTGGTGCTCATCCCAGCAGCAGGAGTGTCAGGCTGGAGAAGGAACAGAGCCATGTCCTGGCCTTGCTGGCAGTACAGGGAAGCCTACAGTTCACTGTGGCCAGTCTTAAGACTCCCTGACCTTTGTTTGGGATTAGAGTGACTCAAAGGGTTTGTTCCTGTATTGGTGCCCTAGGAGATTCCTTTCCCTGGAATGGTCAAACCCAGGGACTCTCTTGGTGGCAAAGGACTTAGTCCTGTCTAAGGAGTAAGTGCTGCTCTCCAGCTGTCTGTTCATCTCATTCTCAGCAGAAGCTGGAGTTTCTGAGGGCTTGGCAGGTTTCTGTATCCCATCCCAAGGGCTTGAAGGGGTGACAGAGGGAGACTACAGGATGTTCCTTGTGGTGGCTGCCACCTCTACAGGACATATCCAGGAAACCTCTGTGGTTTTGCTGGGTCCTTCATGTCTGTGGTGTAAATGATACTGATGTATTTTCCCCCTTTCTATTTTAGAAGAAGAAAGGAGCTGAGCCTGAAGAATTGTGAGAAGGTACATGGCCTGTGGGGATGGGCCACTGGTACCCAGAGCGGCATAACCTCGGCTGCATTCAGAACTCCTGGGCCAGTTTTGGGAAGACAGTGTGCCCTCTAAGAGCTCACTGAGCCAGCCTGGCCTTGGATCAGAAGGCCAGAGAGTGGAGTGGTGTGAGGAATGTTGTGCAGCTGTGTGCTGGCTTCTCTGGATGTGTCTGACCTCAACTCTTTAGCTGCTGAGAACCAGATGTCCAGCCTGGGTGTTGCTGACCTCTGTCACCAGCAGAGATGAGCGGCCTCTGGCATTGTCTGTCTGTCCCTGCTGACCATAGGGAGCCTGGAAAAGTGATGGGGAGTAGATGGTGATGTAGCCACCTAGAAGTGGACCAGATGCCTCTGCCCATGCTCTGCTCAGCTGAAAGGCTGTTCTCCTCCCCATCCCTAACTTTTAACTCCTCTCCCCAAAGGTACCGCATTCCTGTGATTAAAGATTTATGGGTGAAGATCAAACAGAAGAGAGGAAAAGGAAGCTCACCTGGAGAATTCCAACTTTTTTTAAAATAGTAATTTATAATTTCTTTTAACTGTGACTTTTAGAGCAGAGTTGTGTAACTTTCTGCCTCCTCCTGCCCTGCTGAGGCCCGGAGATGTATTTATAGTCCCTCCAGATGGAAAGGAACTGGAGGAGGCAGTTTGACCAGAACAGAGCATAAACTGCTTTTCCCCACCTTGACACCCAGCCATCCCTTTCTCTTACCACAGAGCTATATTTTTGAGAAAATCTTTTTCCTTTTTTCCCCTCCTCCTGTGACTTGTGGTGTCAGTCCTTTTGCTACTACAAAGCTCTCGAGTTTCCTTTTTATTCTAACACTGACAGCGGTGATTATCATGTCCCTGGAGTTGCACTGAACAGTTGTGTCCAACAGCTGTTCTCAGCCAAGGCAGAGTCCGTTTTTGTTTTGTTTTGTTTTTTATGAAATACAGAATAAAAAGCAACAAACAGATTTTACTTCAGCTGCTTTTAGGGAAGGCCAAGGCTGGCTGGCTCTGGAGAATGTTGTGGGTGGGAGAGCAGAGCCCAGTGTCTGCTGCTCTGGGACAGGGGGACCACAGGGTACAAGTGAAATCAAACAAGGGGTGGGCTAGGAATGGGACAAGGAACACAGCCAGTCCTGAGTGGAGATCAGGTATCCAAGTGCCTGCAGAGGTTTTTCTTTATCTTTTTTTTTGTAAAGTTTTATTTATAACCTCCGACAGCTGCAAACAGCACGCAGAGCCTTGCTGGAGTTGCTTACAAGGCTTTTTTAATCAAAAGTTTATTGAGATTATTAGCTTGTGAGATTGTTTATAAAGGAACAATCAGATATATTCAGGAAAATTAGAAGCCCCTCTGCCCATGGCTACCCACTGCTGAGGCTGTAGGCGAATCTTTATGTACAAATCTGAGCACTCCACAATAAAAACCCATTACTCCAGTAATCTAACAGGGCTCCAGCCTACAGGGGATCAGTTAAGAAGCTGGTGGGGGTTATTTTGCTGCTTTTAATGTTCATTCAGTGTAAGGAAGCTTAAATTCTTCAGCAGGAGTGAGCTGCACTGCTGCCTGGGTGCTGTTGGAGGTCGAGCCAAAGAGAACAGGATTTATGGATATGTTGTTGAAATAATTTCCCAGCCTGCTCTACCCATCCTCTGAGAGGATTCTTTGATGGTGGTGGCAGCTCAGTCCTGGCTGATGCTCTGCAGCAGGGGAAGGGTGCCCAGGGATGCCCACTGTTAACTGCCTTGGAAAAGCAATGTAAGAGCAGAAAAGAAATAGAAAATAAGGCAGGAGCTGGAGGGGCAGGGATGCTGAAGGCGACTGCTGTCATCCTCTTCTACTCAGCTGTGGAAGAACAAGAGGAGGTACTCAGTGAAACTGCTCGAAGACTTCCCAAAACCCCTCTCCCTCAACCTCCCCCTCCCTAGCAGTCCCCAGGCCTGAGGACACTTGGACACTCACTTTTGCCTGCACTCAGTTTAAGCATGTCCACCCCGGAAAAGATCATCTCCTCCGGATCTGCAGTGGCAGCAGCAGCACTGGGAGCAGCAGTGCCTGCAAAGGGTGAGCAGGATGTGGGTGCTGGACCCTGGGGCTGCACCATCACTCACTCCCTATCCCTCTGAGGACAGCAGGGAGAGCCTGCACACACTGCTGAGTGGGGCCAAGGGGGGCTCATGCAAAACCCTGACTGCACACTTCAGCTCCAGGGACCTGTAGGGGGCTGTGGGTTTTGGGGTCCCTTAAAGCCTTAACATACTGGCACTGGATGAGTGAGAGGTGCTCTCTGAAACCCCGATGCCCTCCTGTCCTAGCTCTCCTCCCTGCTTCCAAGCGGTCCGTGCACACTGCCCCTTCCTCTCCCCTGACAACCTACCGGGGCAATCCAGCTTTCCCCGAGTCTCAGTGCCCTCAATCTTAGTGCCGTTTTTGTAGCAGCACCAGCAGAAGCCGGTGGAGAAATGGCACTGCTTGGGCAGGTAGTCGCCGTTCTCATCGCACTGTGGGCGGAAGCGGCCCAGCTGATCATTCCCAAAAGTGGCCTCTGCTTGGCACTTAGTTAGCACTAGGGCAATAGAAACAGGGGACACTGTCAGCCCCCCAGGCCCTTCTCCTCAGCAGGAGATTCTATCCAGAAACAGTTAAAGGTGAACAAGCCCTTGCTTGCTGACCTTTCTGAAGCCCGGGCTAACCAGGGATGGAGGATTTGGGATGGGACTCCAGCTGTTCAGCCTTTGTTCACCCCAAATGCCCTACAGGCAGTGGACAGAGATGCTCTGTAATGACCTAACAGCCACAAAACAGGCTTCCCACAGAACAAAAAGGTCGATGACTGGAGTGAGGGCTTGATTCCCTGGGAGATGTCCCATACCAACACCTCCCTGACCCCCCCCCAGCTCAGCAGTCCCATCCCCAGTACCTTTCTCTGCTGGGATTGCCTTGCGGTCCTCTGAGTTGGGGTTCTTGGCCATCTCAAAAAGCAGCCACTTGTGCATCCAGGACTCGAAGGACTGCAATGAGAGGGTCCAGCACGTTAATGCAGCCCAGGAGAGCCATGTCACGAGCTCTTGCTTGGACAGGCAAGGTGGTGAACACCATCCTTTTCCTTGGGGTGGGAGCAGCCCAAACCAGGCTGAAGCCAGACGTTGTTTATCCTGGTGGGGATACCCCAGTCCCTCCCCCAAAGCACTCCTGGAGGCAGGTGGGACAGAATGACAGTGACAAGACTGACCTTCCAGTCCGCATGAGTCATGGTGCTCCTCAGGCGCTTCAAGTTGTCCATCAGGTTATCCTTCAGCTCTGGGAACATCTTGCTGGGGTCTGCTTGCTGCAGAGTAACCACCACAGTGAGTGGAAAGAAAAGAGAGGTTGGGGGGTGGGAGTTGGAGCTCTGCTGGTATCAGCCAGACAGATGCTGCAGGAGGTCAGGAGCTACCACCAGTTCTGAGCACCCCAAGAGACCCCAGACCAGTGCAGGAGGCAGCGGGGGGGGCAGGGGACCTTACCAGCAGCAGGTGCTTCACTTGGTCCTCGGTTTTGTTGCTAGCAGGGCCCATGACCTCAAGAGAAAAGGGAAAGGGGCAGTGTGAGCACGGCAGCAAGGCCTGAGGGCAGCAGGCAGTGCCAAGCAGTGTGGATCTCTCTTACCGGAAAGTCTTCAAAGGGTGCAGGATGCAGGACACTCATGATCAGAGGCGTGTTTGCCTTGGCCATCTTCATCTTATTCACTGGCTTGGCGCCTGCTGAGGAAGGAGAACTATGAGGGGCACCAACCGGGTTGGGTGGTCCAGGAGGGATTCATCCCTTCTCCCCTTCCACCTCCCACCACTTTGGTGCCCATGTGGCTACTAACTGGCAGACAGCTTCGTCTGCAGAGCGTCCAGCTGCAGTTTCTGGGAGGTCTTGGTCAGCTTGCTGATCTGCCCGCTCTGCTGGTAGACGAAGTAGATGGTGACAGCCTGGCCGGCGATGAGCAGGGCCACCAGGATGGAGAGCGTGGAGAAGACGGCTTTGCGCTTCAGTCCAGACCTGCGGGACACGGACAGGGAGCTCAGCCACTCACCGGCGGCAGGAGGTGACATCCTGCTGTCACCCCCTCCCGGCCCCAGACACTCCTGTCTCGGGGCTTTGCAGACAGACAAATGCAAATTCCCCCATCGCAGAGAGAAGTGAAACCTCAGCAGGAGCGTCACCCCCCACCCGGAACCGAAACCCACTGTGGGGGCGGGGGGAAGTGGAGACACGGGAGGGGAACGAAGGACACGTGGGAGTGGACAGGGAGCTGCCAGGGGATTTTCTGGAATAGCATGAATCTGGGCATCGCCTTTTGAGGGATGATGAAACCACTTGGAATCTCGCTGGTCCATGGGGCAGAAGACACGACTCATGGGATGTTGGACTACTCTTAATTTTTAAAATGTTGTGCCGGATCCTGCCCCGCTGGGTGAATGAGGCACTGTCGAGGTGCAGCGGTGCCCCAGAGGTCCCTCCCTGCCTCCGCTGCCCGAGGACGAGCGGACTCTGCCCGGCCAGGGGACAAGTCCCGAACGGGACGCGCTGCGCGGGCGTCTGCCCGGTGACTGATGACGTCAGAGCCCCAGGGCTTCTGATTGGCTGCAAAATTTTTTTTGGGGGGGGGGTGTCCCCCCCCGTGGGGGTTGGGACATAGGGACGAGTTGGGACATGGGGGGACAGCCCCACAAAGCCACTCGGGTCCAGGGTCCACTCCTGCCCCATGGCCACCTCATCAGCCGCCTATCCCACAGCCTCTTTCCCACAAAGCTGCTTTCCCCAAAGCTTCAAGCCATGGCTCTCTGCCCCACCCTGCGAGCCTGGCTACCCCATCGCCATGCCTTGTCCCCAGAGGCCCAGAGATGCAGTGACCCCTTTAATTCTGCTGCCACCCCGTGCCCTCTCAATCCCATAGCCACCCAATTCCCCCCATCCCATAGCCACCCCATGTCCCCCTCCCACTGCCGCCCCATGCCTCCCATCCCACAGCCACCCAATTCCCCCCAATCCCACAGCCGCCCCCGTGCCCCTGCCTTGCCTCACAGACATGTTCTGGCCCCTTCCACGGCCCTCTTAGCTTCACAGTGCCCCATTCCCACAGCCTGCGCCCCATCTTCTGTCCCGTAGTTACTCTGTACCCCCTTGACCCGACTGTATCCCCTTCCATCCCACAACCACGCAATACCCCCCCCCTCCCCGTTGCACGTCCCTATTGTGCCCACTTCGTCCTCCCCGTGCGCCCCATCCCCGTGTCCCCAGCAGTGGCACCTCTGGGTGTCCCCAACACTGAGCACACCGCTGCCGCGGTCAGAGATGAGGTCCCGCTGCTCCTCAGCCATGGCTCCTCTGGGCTCCCCGAAGGCAATGAGCACCTCGAGTGAAGCTTCTGGAAATACCCTCGGGTCCCCACCCTGCCCTGACACCCGGGGGGGGAAGCCAAAAAAAAAAATCCTATTGGCTGATGGCACTTGCATCACTTGTTGTCAGGCAGACCTTTGCTCCAGAGGTCTCCAGTTCAGAAATGATTCTGGACACAGTCGGGAGCTCCACAGCTGCTCAGTGGGGCTTCACTGCCCACACCACGCCACGGGCACGCTATGGTGCTCAGCCTGGTGACACTGGTCATGGGCCATGGGAACAGAGGCTCTGGTACCCCTGGGGGGCAGGTGGTGAGAAAAGGGAGGTGGCAGTGGGATGGGGGAGGTGAGAGGAAACATGTGAGGAAGGAAGTGGGGTGCAGAGCTGGGACATAGGGGTCGGACACCATGGAGAGGACCCCCCCACACCAAAAGCTGAGCAGGATCTTCCGTGGGGGCAGAATGCCAGGGTACAACCCTCCTTGCTGGCCCCCTCCCCTGCTGCTGGGGAAAAGCTGCACTTGGGCGGGCTCAAGCCCCTCCTTGAGGGTCACTTTGGACCCTCCCTGTGTGGGGGCTCTTGGCCAGCACTTCTCAGGCTGAGGAGGCGATGAGTAAAGGGTCAAGGGCTTTCAAGCCCTCCTTCTTAGTAGCACTACCCTCTTTGCTTTGCCTGCAGCAGCTTCCAGGGGCTGAACTCCCAAAGCCAAGAGAGGAGGAAAAGCCCCTTAAGGTGAGTGACCCCGAAGCACCAGTGGGAGTGGGGCAATGAGCCCCCCACAGCCCCACCAGTGCTACACGGGCAGGACCAGCCATCCACCCCATGATGCTGGTTTTTGGTGGTCTTACACAATGTCCCAGAGCAGCCCAGGGGTAGCATGCTGGGCCGAGGGTCAGACTGAGCCCAGCACCATGCTGGATCCATCGTCAGGACTCAACATGACCATGGCCAGAGTTCAGCCAAAAGTGAAACTGCAAATGTGGAATCAAAAGTCCTACCTAACCAGGCACCACTGGCAAACCCACTGTGGCGAGCAGGGACATGTTGTTTCAGCGACTCCATTTCTTTTCCTGATTCAGTCCTGAGCCTCTCAGGTGGCTGTGGGGAAGCAGACAAAGGGCTCATTTCAGAGCACTTACAGGGAGTAGGGCAGGGTCTCCTGGCAGATGCTGTTCCTGGAGGAAATGTGGTGGCACGATGCTCTTGCTTTCCAGTTGTGAAACTGCTGCCCCACACAGGGTTTTGGTGCCTGGAGCATGGTCCCAACCCTGCAACCCAGCTGAGAAAGGCCTGGGTGCCCAGGGGTTCACATAGCACCAGCCCAGGGGTACCCATCAGCCTTACCCCAGGCCTGTAACAATGTGTTGGGGGTTGAATTGTTCCCTTTTCTTTCTGTGGAATTTTTCCCATTGTTATGCTAAGTGTTTGTGGCTACACCTTAGTAGTAATAGTTTTCTCTCTCAGGGGGGTGGGAGATAGGGGGAGACCGGAAAAGGAAAGGTGGGACAAGGGCCTGGGCTCTCTGGCTCTCATTCTCTCTCTCGCTGGTGGAGTGGAAGGAAGACGGCTGGAGCTCCCATCTAGCATCCTCCCCGCCATCCCAGCGTTCCCTGCCATCAGACATCGCTCGGCTGTTTTCCCGCCTCATCCTACTACCTCCGGGCACTCTGCCGAGCACCACGACCGACACCGTGAGGGGGGAGTCCCTCCTCCATCCCTCTCACCCCTGGGCCGCCGCTGCCATCACCCAGCCCCTTCAGCTACACGGGCCCTGCCCTGCCCACAGCACCGGTAACTGAGCGCACGGAGAGAGGGAGGGCCTGTGGCCAAAAGGGACTGGAACTGAGTTAGACTGTTCTGTTTTGCTGTCAATTTTTATAGCTGTTGTTGTTTCTGCTGTTTGCCTTGTTAGATATCAGTAAAGAACTGTTATTCCTATCCGCATATCTTCTGCCTGAAAGCCACTGATTTAAAACTATAATAATTAGAAGGGACGGGGTTGCACTCTGCATCTCAGGAAAGGGGTTCTCGCCTTTCCTTAGCAAATACCTGTCTTTCAAACCAAGACACATTGCTGTATTTAGAAACTATCAGAGGGGTTTGAAAAGAAAATAAAAAGGGAGAGGAAATGGAGAGAAAAGGGAAGAAGGAGAACTTGTAAAAAGGGGAAGAAAAAAGAGGGGGAAAAGGAAAGAACACAAAATCCTTCCATGCATTTTTTCTCTCCCTTCATGGACACTGGGACTATTGGGGGACACACAGGTTTTCCTCACAGCCTCAGCCCCCAGTCAGCTCCTCATTTTGGGAGGATCCCAAAAATCCCTGCCTCAAGGCCGTGCTCCTGGTGCATTCTGTGACTAGCCTCAATAAGCGGAACCAGAGAAAGTCTGAACAGGAACTTCACAGACGAAACCCCAGTGATTCCATGGAGCTGGGCTGGCTCTGCAAACCATAAACGTGGGTGATAACCGGGGAGTGGAGAACAGCCCCTTTCCCAGGCAGGCTGAGCCCCTTGAGCCTCCTGGAGGAGCACTGTCAGCCCTAAGTCAGCCCCTGCTCCACACACAAACATTCCCAGTCAGCTCTTCAATGCTTCACACACAACTTTCTGCCCAGGGCTGTGACACCCAATGTGTTCTCCAATTGATTTTCCAGGGAAGACACAGACACTTTCAGAGAGCAGCTTCCATCCTGTCTGACCCTCCTCACTCTCCCATTGCCCGAGGCTGGCAATGAATTGTCACCACCCTGTTACCCCAAGGCTTTGTATTTGGTGCTGCCTATCAAAAACTTCACAAGTCTTTTTTTTTAGGAAAAAAAAGCTATCTGGAGCAAGGAGTGATTTCAGGACTCTGATGAGGACCAGGTCAGCAGAGAACTATTTCAGGCACTGAGGTGGAATAACCCAGAAGGCATTCACAGGAAGCCATTCATCACCAGCTGGGCCTCGTCTTGCAGCTCTCGGCTCCCCAGACCCTGAACAAAGGTTTGGGGAACAGACCCACATTTCCCACTGACCCTGAGGTGACATCTTCAACAGCACAGAATCAGCCCTGGGCAAATCTGAGGGGAAAGGCTGAGCCACAGGGCTCACCAGTGACCACTGACTGTGCCTGAGGATGGAGCACAGCCCCAAACAGCCCCATGCCCTCCACAGGATGAACATCCCTGCCAGGGTGACACAGGGTGGGCAGGCACAGTGAACACACCCGTGCAGCCCAGAAGCCACCATCCAGCTACAGCAACAGGGGGGTGCAGGTGATTCAGTTCCTCACTGCATCACTCAAGACAAGACAGTTGGGTCAGGCCACGGACTTTCAAGAGCCAGGAGACACATCCAAGTGACTCTGACAGGAGGGCCTTTCCCTCCAGAAAGCCCCAGGACATGGGCCAGGGAGCTGCCCTGTGCTGGGGCTTTGGTTTCTCTTCCTCATTCATCATTTCCTCTTTGGGGTTATGCATAAACACAGGAAGCTGCTTCAAAGACGCCAGGTCTGCTGAGAAATCAAAGCAATTTTTGCCTTTAATTGTGCAGCAAGCCCAGGCACCAGCCTGCCCATGGCACAGCACTGCCAGGGCAGCATATGGCACAGGGTGGGTGTAAAGTGACTCAGCTCAGCCAGCCCTGTGTGCACCTGCACTGCTCCAGCTTCCAAGGATTAAGGGTTAACAGAGTAAATCCACCTTCACATAGAGCAGATAACTTCCCCTTTCTACATCTGCTCTATAAACCAGCAGGGCAGAACCTGCCTGGACCAGGGTGGGCAGCAGAGGGAGTGAGTGGAAACATCTCCCCCAGCGCCATGAGATGAGCAGAGTCTGTTGAATTTTTGACACAGCAAAGGTGTTGTGTTGGATTTTTGCTGTAGAGCTCTCCCCAGATGTGTGCCTCATGAAGCAGCCAACGTGATGTCCCCTGGGACAGAGTAAGTCACACGGAACACACAGAATCACAAGGTTGGAAGAGATCTTTAAGATCATTGAGTTCAACCCATGCCCTAACTCCTCAACTAAACCATGGCACCGAGTGCCACATCCAATCTTTTTTTAAATATCAGGGATGGTGACTCCACCACCTCCCCGGGCAGACAATTCCAGTACTTGAGCACTCTTTCTGTACAGAACCTTTTCATAATATCCAACCTGTATTTCCCTTGGCACAGATTAAGACTGTGTCCTCTCATTCTGTCAGTTGTTGCCTGGAGAAAGAGACCAACCCCACCTGGCTACAACCACCTTTCAGGAAGTTGCAGAGAGTGGTAAGGTCACCTCTGACTTTCCTTTTCCCCAGGTTAAACAACCCCAGCTCCCTCAGCCATTCCTCACAGGGTTTGTGTTCCAAGCCCCTCACCAGCCTTGTTGCTCTCCTCTGGACGCACTCAAATGTCTCAACCTCCTCCCTGAACTGAGGGCACAGAACTGGACACAGCACTCAAGGTGTGGCCTCACCAGTGCCAGGTACAGGGGAACAATGACCCCCCTGCTCCTGCTGGCCACACTATTCCTGATCCAGGCCAGGATGCCGCTGGCCTTCTTGGCCACCAGGGCACACAGGGCTCACGTTCAATTGGCTGTTGACCAGTACCCCCAGGTCCCTTTCTGCCTGGGCACTGTCCAGCCACACCGTCCCCAGCCTATAACATTGCAGGGGGTTATTCTGGTCAAAGTGCAGAATTCAGCACTTGGACTCATTAAACTCCATCCCACTGTATTCTGCCCATCCACCCAACCCTTCCAGGTCTCTCTGCACAGCCCTCCTCCCTTCCAACAGATTTACACACATTCCCAGCTTAGTGTCATCTGCAAATTTACTAATGAAAGACTCAATACCCTCATCCATGTCATCAATAAAAATATTGAACAGAACCCAGCACAGAGCCCTGAGGGACACCACTGGTGACTGGCCCCCAGCTGGATGCAGCACCGTTCACCACCACTCTCTGGGCCCAACCATCCAGCCAGTTCTTAACCCAGCAAAGAGTGCTCCTGTCCAAGTCATGGGCTGCAGCTTTTC